AAATATCCTCACCACTTTTTTTATCATTTTCAATAATCAAATTTGAAGTCATGTCTATTTAAATAAATATGTAATACAGATGGTCCTTGATATGCACCTGCTCTCCAGGAAAAAATGTGATCCTAGAATCTTGCGTCTTCGTTCTTTCGTGGAAGTCCATCATGACATGGGCAGTTTTCTGCCTTGTGAAGCAGATGACAGAGGAAGAGTAGCTCAAGTCCCCAGTCCTGATGACAGGAATGTCAAGGAACTTTTCCTCTTCATCTATGACATAGGACAGCTTCTCAAACTGCATTGTTGGAACTGTTTAAGAAATCAATAATGTTCCACTTAAATGAAGATATAAACTTGTCTTGGAGAAGCACTTTATCAAACCAATGTTTCATATACTTTGCAAGAAAGAAGCTATACAAGATTTTCTTGAATTTTGGTTATAGAATTTTATATAAATAACAAAAATCAAATCTATAACAAACACAATTTTGCATTAAATGTAGTTAGATGTAGTCTCATAATTTTACATTTTTGGAAAGAATAAAATATTGATGGAATGTAATACTAACTATCTAGATCTGTATCATTAATAGTGATCAGAGCACTGATTGGTTCAGTCAGACTGCTGCCCATTGCAGAACTCAGGAACACAATAAAAGTTTCATTTCCCTCTACCCTGGGATCTGCATTATCATCTAATATTGTCAGCTTGCACACCTGTAAAGCATTTTATTATAAATGAAGAATAACATGGAAAAGTGATTATAATATATGCTTGTCAAAATGCGAAGAATGTTGTTCACTTAACAAGACAACTAAATCACCAGTTAACAAAACAATCAAAAACTCAATTTAAATCATCTCAAAGGTCATTATAAAATTTTCATTAAAAACCCTCTTATTAAAACTTAAAGATGTATGCCACTATTAGCCAAGAACTTTAGGTAAAATGCACAGATAAATTACAAATATAAAACAACCAGTTGCACAAAATGTATAAAATAAGCAAAGGTCATTCCTACCTGTACATTCTGTCCAGGACCAAATGTTATCTGATTGGATGTTGGGACGTAGTCCTGTCCAGGTGTAGCAGACGGTGGGTTCACCATTTTTGTAGCACACCACACCATGGAACTATGGGATAAGTCTGAACCATCACGAATCACTGGAATCTCAACAATACCTGCATCTTCATCAAACCAAGCACTCTCATGAGCGAATGAGATCAGAGATTCTGAAAACAGAGTACTGTTTAATAAAAAAAATGAAAACAATGAAAACATGAAAACAATGCTATATTTTGCACATTTTCACATAAATATTGTACACAATTTTCAAAAGATGTGTCAAATGTCAGAATGCACTTCACTTAATTTAGAGTGCAGAACATCTTAAAAGACCAAGAAACCAGACCCAAATATTTAGAAACTCGTATGTTAAATCATAATATAATAGTCTTGCATTTTGCCCAACTCAATATTGCAACTTACCATCGTTTGGTCCATCAATAATAACAATAGCTTTAGATATGGGTCCAACTTTTGTCATCATGGATGGGTCAGACAGAACTATCTCAAACTGTTCCAAAGTTTCATAATTACTGTCATCAATTATCTGGAAATAAAATCCACAAAAAAATTTGAATATTAGAAATGGCTCAACATTCCATATAAATCGTATATAAATCCAATCTCTTTTTTCAGTTCTCATTGAAAAGTTGAAAAGGAAAAGGAGGAGGAAGAACAAGAAAATTTAAAAATCTTATTGCATAAAATTGAGGCACTCACCTGAACATCACAGGAGGCTTCAGTCTCCCCAGCAGAGAAGACGACCCGGTTTGCATCCGTCTGCTGTCTGGTTTTGAAATCGGCACCAGACTCCAGTCTGCTGCCACCACTACCTATAGCAGTCATAGACAGCGTGGAACAGACCACTGAGGAACTACTGCTCAGGTCACCTGTAATCAGTCATATAAACATTCTCACTTTCTCACTTCTCACAGTATTCCAATGAAATAAATAGTTTAAAAAAAAACACAAAAATAATATAAAGAAAAGGGGCAACCATCACTGAAAGAGAATTAATAAACTTTCAATATATTTGAAGGACATGCAAGTCACTTACAATGAATCACTGCAATCATATTAATTGACACTAATTTATCAAACACGTACCTGATCTTGTGAGAGTGGCATACAAAAAGCCATCACTCTCATTTACATGGTACAGGCCTTTCTCAAACTGGACCACAGGCTCTGAATAAGCCAAAATAACACTTGTTCACATAGCAAAAAAAGGCAACATTAATATTATGCACAAAATAATTAGATTGTATCAAACAGAAGCAGTAAAGAGACGATACATTACACCATGTTAAAAGTATTATCATCAGTGCTGCTACATATGTGAAGAGGTGTTTTCACACTGGTTTGATATTGTATTAGATTGATAATCAAAAATTGAAGGTACATTGTACAAATTTAAAAAATCTAAACCAATCAAGGTTTAATCCTACTAAGTTAACTTCTTCACCAAATAGCTCTTACCATCTTCCAAATCATAAATGGTTATGGAAGCTTTTGTTGGGGTTCCTAACAAGGCATAAGCAGGTTGACTGAGTTCAACATAAAAAGTCTCTGGCCCCTCAAATATGGAGTCATCATTAATGACAATGGTGCATGTTTTGGTGTCTTGCCATTCATCAAACTGAACCTGGAAACAGACACACAATATCTTTAAAACTAAACACTAGGAATGTCTCTTTTATATATAATACCTTAAGTAAACAGAAACAAGTGATATTACAAATAATTATATCTATGCCCGGATATAAATGTAAGCTTTATGTAATTTTCATCCAATTCTAAATCCGAAAAATATTCTGTAAACACTTCTCTGTGCAGGATTTCTATCAAACAAGATTTGAATTAATCAATGCTTATCAATACTGTTGGTGTATAGAGCAGCTGTTTTTCGTTTTACATGTGACAAACACACACAACTAAAAATGTAACACTTGCTTTCAAAGCTGTCTATAAACCACTGTTTTCACTTATAAAACAGCATTGCTTCCAAGAATTAACAAAATATTTGCACCTCAAAAATAAGGTTGTCTATTTTTTACCTGGCCCATGAATGCCTCATAATCATTCATCCCTGGTCTCACTATCCCAGTGGCTGAAGATGCGGACACGGCACTTCCTGGGATGGCTTTACATTGCACTATCGAGTACTGGAATATCAATGGATAAATATATGAACTTCAAAAAACACAAACATGCTGGTATTTCTTAGAAAATATGACGGCTGAAGAGAAAAGGCATTATATGAAAACACAAATATACATCTTATGACAGGTAAAATATCATGACATCCCAGTGATGATATTATAACTGCAAGTGCTAGGCTGAGAAATGTAATAAGTACTTAGACAGTTATACTTTATTTTATAGAAAAACAAATATCAAGAACCTTGTCTGTTTAGCTCAATTTCAATACATAAACAAGTTAATCATCTTATGGCAGTGCACAAAGTTTATTATCTCATTACCTGTTTGAGGTTTCCGATCCTTTTGACTGGCACACGTATGACCCCTGAACTTTCTGTTATATTTATGTCTGGCAATTCAAAGTTGATATATGACCACCTGATGTGAAAAACCTGCTCCTTCACGATGTTTGGCTTGCTGTCCATCAGGTCAAAGGTGAACTTGTCCTTGGTTTCATTGGTGCTCGTAAACAAGACGTATCGTATAACCCCATTGTTAATGTCCTCTGAAATAAACAAAGAGAGAAAATTTATATGATTATCTTTTATTTGCATTTAACAAGAGAGCATTTGAAAGACAGGAAAAGTATACCAGAAATGAGTCTCATGACACATTTGTTATCAATCAAAAGCTTCAAGAAAAAAAAAGAAAAAAAAATTTTCCCTTCCTCATTTAAAAGACCACAAGAAAAGATAACACCATAAAGATGAAATAACTTTAAACACTGCATCCTGGTCAATAGTTGTAACTCATACCTTGAGAAAACAAAGAAATGGGTACATCTGGGTTGGCAGAGTTCTCTATCCTTCCATACTGTGGTGGCTCTTTTATCTGGTAGATCAAAGCTTTATCTTGGGTGTCCAGGTCTGTTGCTTTCAGCTCCTTGGATGTTATGGCATTCATGGCCTAAATATGATGATGTGGATTCTTAATAGCTTTGTTGAACTGAACAATGACACACCACTATATGGGTTAATGAGCAAATTAAGTCTCAAGGGATAAAGTAACTTTTCTTGCAATGAGAAAAAAGATGTTAGTTATCACGTGTTAGGACCAATACACCAACAGTGGCCCTGTAATGCATTAATTACCACACATACCACGTCATCAGACAGGGTACCCAAGATAACAGCAGACATATTCTTACCTTGCCATTTACATATTCCAGGTAATGTAAGCCCAGGTTTGTGGTTATGATAGGACTGCCATCATCTACTGGACTTACAGCTATCTCAAACAACTGAAGAGATATAACAAATTACCCTAAAAAGGCTTTCTTTTTTTCTCATATTTATATGAACTTTATTTAAGTTTATACACGTAAATTCCTTTCATGTGTTAACATGTGGAATAAGAAAACATAGGAAATGACATCAACAAAATATTAAACCTCACATTCACTAAGCCAAAAGAAAAACACTTAAAAGTTACAATGGTAAAAAGATGTATTCAAATATTTAGGATACAAATAATTCTCCTGCAAATGAATAAGAAAGTCCAGCATAACTCACCAGTGGTCTTGACAAGGGCACACCTTCAGGTTGGTCTTGTTGCATCATGTAGAGATTATTGGTGCCATCACTGGTAGTGAAAGTAAAGCTGTCAAGGAGTGTCTCACTGCCATCATGCTGGTAACTAACACGGTTTTCGTAGATATCAGCCATACTGAATCTTGTTGCTTGTGTCTGCTGGCCATTGTACAGCAGGTCTAACGAACCGTGGCGTGGATGCTGAATGACTGTGAAGAATACGTGGTCCTCCTACATGCACAGATGTTGTAAGTGTCAGAATCAACTTTATCAAAGTTATGCACAAGAATTTTGTAAAAAGATTTAAGCAAGTAAGACATAATGCCAATTTGACAGAGGAAGGAAAGACGCAATTAATGATAATGTGGAACTTATAGCATATTATCTAAATTCATTGATAATAATTATAATAATTAAGACTAAAATACAGTTAATATATTGCATATCATATGCAAGTATGGTTGTTATTCAATCTTTTCGATGAGGAAAAATAGCGAATTTTTTAGATACTGTATTTTTTAGTTATCATTTCTGAAAATCAGAACATTCCTGTAGAGTAGGAGACCACATTCAAAAGGAGACCACTTTATAGTTATTTTCTGTGTAGGAAAGCAACACAAATGTTATACAGAAATATAACTTTTGCAATTATAAAATCATGTATCTGAAAGTTTGATAATATTTGCCCATTGAAAAGATTCAGTAAATCCCATATTTTGAAAAATGTATTACTGACCTTAGTGTCTTTGTCCACTGCCTTCAGGTCAAACTCTGTGATGACCTTCCTGACCCCTTCTTGGACCTTAAGTCCATGGACGCTGACCACTGGCAGGGAGTCATCAACAGGGGTAATGGTCAAGTAGAAGGTTTGTGTCACCTAGAAATAATAAATCGGGAAACAAATTACAAAAATATTGATATCTGGTATTGTATATCAATTACTAACAATAACAGATCCAAAAGTAAGGTGATCAAAGGTAAATTGAATTTCAACAGATGTAAAAAAATTCCCCTTGAACTGATTATATATATATATTGTGTAGGTTTTTCTTTCCTGCACTTACTGCACTTGTGTTAGTAACCTTTGCAAAACTAAATATTAAATAAAATTGCTAACTGCTGAATATTAAAAAATTCCTTTTTCAGCTTCACATAAAAATTGGCAGGAAAATAATTTGATGAAACCAACTGTGTCTTTTTAACCATCCTTACATCATTTGTCCCATCAGTGACAGAGAATGTAAAGCTATCCATATAGATTTCTTCGCTGCTGGTATGTACATATTGTACCTGACCTGCTGCTAGATCTGACTGGCGAAACTGACTCACTGGCATTCCTGGAACATACACAGATCAATGTAAGTGTGTTGTCTTATATGCTGAACTTACACCACATCAGTATTGGTCTTGTATCATTCCCAGTACAAATACTACAAATGCTGATTTTCAAACATACACCCCAAATGTGTTGGTTAAAATTGAATTCACTGTGTAGTGTAATTCAACTAGGCATCATTTCAAAACCAAGTCCATAAAAGTTTATGTGAAAGCCAAAAAACACCTTAAATTACAAAACAGCAATGAAAATATGGAAAATCTGATCTGCAGCAATTCTGTTTTATTGACAAATTGGTAGTGTCCTAGGTCACTTGCCCCTGGCTCCTACTAAGGCAATATGTCCTAGCTGTGGTGGAGTGAGGACAGAAAACAGGAGGTTTGCTGGCTCAGAATCTGTGTCTGTGGCTGACAAGAACTGTGTGGTGATCTTAGCAGCTCCACCTTCTTTTACACTGAACTCCTTGTTGGCTGTCACCTGGGGAGGAATCCTATCCTCTGGGGAAGGAAAAGAGTGGAAAATGTTAGAATGAGTATTAAGCCCAATACGACTAACATGCATGTCTGTCATTGTATAATATTGCTATGTATAGAACTAATTTTTAAGACTGATTGAATTTACCGAGTTAAATATGAAATGAAACGTGGTGATAAATATCCAATGCAGGAGAGTGCTTGGTGTTTGACTTCTTTAACTTCTGGATCATCACTTAATGCTACTTTATGTACTGATAGTACACATCATAATATTAGCCCTTACCTAAAACAGTTATAACAAAACTTTGATCAATCAACACATTATCCTCTGGGTCTGATAGTCTGAATTTAAACAGAGTTGGACCTGCTGGTTCACTGACATCATGTACGTACTGGATATGACCTGCAAAAGAGAAATTCTAACCATTAAAATATATCATCATATATATTTATAGTATTAAATGCAATATGTCCATATATTGCACACTAAGAAATATGAATTAGGCATTAACAGAAACTACACAACTAAATCCTTTTTGTTGCATTTTTGTCATTTCTCTTAATCTGTGCGTTTTTTTAATGCTCACACTTATCTATAAGCTTTGTCATTCTAACATTAGTGCCCCAATAAATAAAATCAATAGAAAGCACAAAAATATTTATCCCATTTTTACCTTCATCAATATCCGACTGTGTAAAGCCGCTCTGGTGGCCATCTTTAGTAATTTCTGCTATCAGCTGGCCTTTAACTAACTTCAGTTTGCCCGATGACAAATCTTCAGTGATTGTATAAATGATCTGGCTGTCCTCAGAATCTACATCACTTGCTTTCAACAGGTTATTTTCAATCACTGTGGTAGAGCCTAAATAGAACAAAACAAATAGTGATAATAGCTCTGGTCATTATGATTCATAGCAATAGACAACAGTTTCATGAACTGGCACCAGTATCAGTGTCTGAAAACAGCTTTCTAAGGCCAAGGTGGTGAATGACTGGAGCAGTTGCTATCAATCAGATGTAAAAATTTGAAGGGATAAATTATTTTACTTTAAAACGTGTTTGATAAGTCAGGTCTGAGGTGGGTTTTATGTCATAAAATGTGTTTGATACCTGCAGACACCTGGAGCCCTCTATTGACCACCACACGGGGAGTTTCATCATTCACAAGACCAATGACAACCTTCATGGTTTTCCTGTCTGTGAATTTTCCATCTGTTAACTGCAGAGTGAATTCATCTCCATCCACTTCTCCCCCTTCATGTGTGTATCCTATCAGCTCATTGAGGATGTCCTATTGAAATAGATACATTACATAAAAACCTCATGTGCTATCCCACAGTAACTTGTTAATGGTGCATAAAAAGGCAAAGAATGAATAAATTAAAGCAAAGTAACACTGAAATCAGCTCTAAGCCGCATGAAATACATTGATGGTATTATAAAAGAATATCTTTAGGGTGACTTTATTGACAATTTTTGCTAAATAATTGCGTCAGTAATACACAATGACTGAATGTCAATTAAAATATTCATTTGAAAATTAAATATTATACTTATATTGACCTCATAAGTGAATGTAGCTCCTTGCTGTAATTCTTGCCCAGAGAATATCATATCCTGTATGTACTCCTTTCTTCTAAGTTTGCCTGCCGAAATTGGAGAGACATTGATTATATAATGCAAATTCTAATAATTTCAAACAAATTTCACAGGAAACATCAATCCATGCCTAAATTACATCATAACTTTAATATTACTCCCATTCAATTCAACAGTTAATGCATTCTCCAAGTCGTGAAATATATGCACTTAAAACATAACCAAAATATGCTCTTTATATCATGGTAAATACAAGACATGTCTTCTCACTACAAAATATTTTATCCCCTTACCATGCTGTGGCAGTGCTTCCACTGTGAACAGCAATTCCTCAGGCACGCTGTCAAAGTCAATGACATACATGGTGGCATTAGTCATTACCACGCCACGACCTTCTTGACAATGTAACTGCTCTGTCACCATCACTGGGGACTCATCATTGGTCAACTGGAACAGGGAAGGCAAATAGTTACCAAGCAAATCAGATTAAAAGAGTGATATAAGTCATATGGATATGTTATCACTTACCAATATGGATATGTTATCACTTACCAGTATGGACATATTATCACTTATAAAATGGATATGTTATCACTTACCAGTATGGATATGCTATTTTTAACTAGTATGGATATGTTGTCACTTATTAGTATGGATATGTTATCAATTACCAATATTATTTTACCATTTACCAGAATGGATATGTTATCACTACCAAATGGATATGTTACCACTTACCAAATAGATATGTTATCACTTGCCAGTATGGATATGTTATCACTTACCAGTATGGATATGTTAAACCTCTGAGAAGGAGAATCATTGGTGCCATCAGTGACATGGAACAAAAAGCCATCTGCCACTGGTTCTTTATTCTTGTGGTCAGTCTGGACATAGTATACCCCACCATCCAGCAGGTCCTGCAGGGGGAAGGTAGTGACCACTGATGGCCTCCCATGCTCTGAACCGAGTCCTGTAGTGAAAGAAAATACCATTCTGCCAGAATGCTGATAATTAGTTAAATAGTTACAGATATACTTATTGTAAAGGATCTTTCAAATTGTGTTTTCAAACAGACCATAAAATAATTTAGTCATTACCAGAGCAGCTTTGCTTTTAACATTTTATATCTGTCAAACAAACTCCACAAGTAAGTTAAATGACACTGCAATAAAATAGTGGAATATATCGTCATAGTTTCATAAAAGTATATTATCCAATAATTCCAATCCTCTGGTAGAATGGTCAGAACTGTACCTCTGAGAGAATTCTTCACCACACCAAAGCTGGGCAACGCATCAATGACCACGGTCAGCAAAGATACAGGGGTGTCCATGTCCATGGCACTCAGGTGTTGGGGAGTTAACTGGACACGACCACCTTCTTCTACCTGAAATTCAACACCAATACTACTGGTCAAAGAAATGCAATAAAATATATGTCAGATTTATCAGTAATACTTGTAGCCCTATTATTAAAGATATTCTACAAAGACAAGTTTGTGGAGTCTAATGTAGACTGATTACACAGAGAATGGCTTTGACTGTAAAAACAGCATAACAACTAAAACATGTACACCATCCAAGATGTAATTTGTGTAGTTATCCAAAGTTCTTACCTCTACTCCAGGTCCCACAGTGACCACTGGTGCTTGGTTATTGACTGGTTCAATTGTGATGGTCAGAATCTGATTGGCCAGGACATGGTTATTGGGGTCTGTCACATTGAAATACAGGATCTCGTTAATGGGGCGACTGCCTATCTCACTGGCAGCAGTATATCTGGAATGTTTAGGTTGAAGGGTTCAGATGATTTTGATAAGTGTTAAAACTATAAACTAACATCATCAAGCCTACTTTCTTAACCACGGAATTTAAACAACTGATGCATATTCAGCTATCATTCAAGGCCTGTTATTATCACTATATTCTTTGTGAAAGGCATTTTAGTGTTTTAACACTAAAAATTTAAAATTTAATTCCAACACACTTAAACTGATATGCTGCATCAAATTCAGTAACTCAACATGGTTCTTACTTAATCATGCCATCATTTATATCCTGCTGGGTAAATGAGCTTCCCAATGTAAGAATCTCCCTCCCCCTCTTTAATGTTCCCTGCATGGGGTCCATGACAACCTTGATTGTTAACTTGTCATCACTTGTATCTATATCTGTGAAAGCCATATGTTTCTTTTCAATGGTTGATGTATCTCCTGTAAAATATCATATTTTCCAAAGTAAAAATTGTTACTAATGATTTGAAACCTTGAAATGGATACAGGAATACTCAAGTTGTATCAAAAAGTCTTATAGCCATGGCATTAACGTATAATTAATAGCATATGATGACTGCAGATACCATACTGTTTTCATACCTTGTCAGAAGATAGCAATCATAGTAAAATGAATTTTTAAAAAATATAAAAGAATGGCTGGAACATCATAAACACACCTTCTGGTAAAGTCATACTAAAGCTAGCCTGCTTGTCTGCCATGGGAGACGCTCTGTCAGCCCTGGTCACAGACACCTTTACACCAACTGGCACAGTGTGGACACCATCACTGACTTTGAAGTGCAACATGTCTTCCAAACGTCTGGAGCCATCATGTTGATACATGACTGCATTGTTCTTAACATCTGCATATGTCATCTCTTCACCTAAAACAATAAGATGTAATGAAGCAGTTGGATTAAACCGCATTGTGGCATGAAAATCTACAGATAAAAATTGTTTGATATTCTCAAATTCTCTGCAACAAAAATAAAAAAGTACCGTAGTAAATAGTCAGAAAATATAAAATAACATAAATATGAAATATACAATCTAAATTTATAAATTCTATACCTATTCCTAATTCACTCCTCCTTCCATTAGAAGTCTTCGTGACTTTACCAGCAACTGGATTCTGGGTCAAGGTCAAACTAAGGTCATCAATACTGGTATCAGTATCTATTAATGCAATCACATCAGGGCCAAGAAGAACGCTGCCACCCTGGGTTACCTAGGAGACAGCATTTATTTGTAAGCCAATCTGTACTTGTGTGTAGTAAACATGATAATCCAAATATCAAATTTAAGTTTCATCATAATAACATGTTCATTATTCAAGTTAGGTGCATCCACTACAATTCCAACAGAAATACAATCTTTCACATTACATCATAAAAGAGACATTCGATATAACACATATTTGAAACGATGCATTGTTATGAAAATTTTGGTTCAAGTCACTCTTGTTTCAGTCTACAAAAATAAGACATTGCTTGTACCTTGACAGAAGGCTCATTTTGAAGCACTCTGGGTGGCATGTTATTGACTGGCATCACATGGATAGAGAATGTCTGCTTGGGAATTGCAAAGCCACTTGTTTTATCTTGAACTAAAACAGTGTATATATTGTTAGACGTATCATGATACAGTTAACATTACCATTCATTGTATCCTAGCCTTTTATCATTTATTAATACTTAGGTCACATATGCCACCTAACAGTGTGAAGCTTACTGCAAAAGCACACTATGGGAAACCATCATCGACTTCTTCCTTCAAACTAAAAGCAATTGAAACTGTCACTTAAAATTATACAAATCATACTTCCAAATTTGCTTTATCAAAGTTTTACTTGCTGCTCCTTTATCCAGTACCTATAAAATCAAAGGTGAATTTCTTCTCCTCTGGTCCAATTTCAGTCATAGGAGGTCTGTAGATAATCTTGTTCATGTTGATATCTTCTTGTGTGAACCTGAACACTGGCTGGAAGGGTTCCCTGATGTGTTCTACAGAACCCTGTGTGGACTGCAGAGGTCTGGTTATGGTATAAACTATGTCCCTGTCATCAGAGTCAATGTTCTCAAAGGCAAGGTGGGCACTCATGATGGGTACCAGCTGGTTCTCAAACACCTAGACCAATGTTATATTGTTATCAGATTGAAAGTAAAAACCAAGATGATTATAGTCATAGAAAATAATTGCTACAAAGGATAATAGTAAAGTCCCCATATGTATGCCATTAAAACACATATCCATTACTCAAATTTGTTGGTAATGCTTCAGCATGAATCAAAACCATAAATTATTATACAGCTTGCTTTTCCATATAAAACTTTTTACCACAAAATATATATGTGTAATCACCTTCATACTAAGGTCCACCCCAGGTGCCACAGTGGGGGCAGTGCTGGGAGCATCACCCTGGGGCATCGAGACTGAGATGTGGAAAACCTGGTTTCTCAGAATGTTGGGAGAATTAGTCCCCTCAGACACCTATCAAAACAATGAGCAATGTGCTTTCATTAGTACTGCATTAAAAATATATATATTTCAATACATACATCCTCTTTTTATGAATAAAAAATAAGAGATTTTAAACAGATTTTCTACATTAAATTAAAGCCATTATCTCCTTCATTCTTTATCGCAAAGAAAAATTTACCTCAAAAATAAACCTGTCTTTTCCTGTACTGGCTCTACCCTTGTGTTGGTACCAGAGTCTTTTCTCATCCACATCTCTCTGGAGGAACCTGTACATCGTAGCACCCATAGTTCCATCCCCACGGTCCTTCCAGCCTCTCCTGGCTCCATCTGGTGGGATGGGGACTATCATCAACAATGTCCCTGGAGTAAACACAAAAAATTAAGTACCCAAGTTTTCATCTATATTAAATAAATAAAAAACACAACTCTTTTAAGTACTATATAAACTGCAGATGAGAATTTTTCTGACACATAAAAAGTGACATTGTAATTGCAAGATATACAACAAAATAAATTTCCAGAACCACTGGGCAGAAGTAGTGGGTTAAATATTTTTGTGAACACAGCCTTTGAGAAATACCATTCTCAAGATTTAACAAAATGCATGTGACACATCTTTCACATCAAAATTACAGTGTATCCACTATTTTGTACCTTCTTTAGGATTGTCAGTTATGGTGTAAATCAAGTTGGATTTCTGCTTTCCTCCGGACACAAAATGCAGCATGTCTTTGGTCAGTAGGACCATTTTACCCATCTCTACCTTTGCTCCCATATTAACCTCCATTACTGGGACACTTTTACCCTGGAATAAAGTAATAACAATATAACAGCACATATACCTTAGGTCTTACCTTTACTTTCTTTATGTATACTCAGAGTATATATATGTACAATGAAATTCAACAAGATTACAACATTAACATGCAATCATTTTCAGTTAAATCAACATTAAATTACAAACAAATTACAAAAAATAGAGTTACATTGACCAATATAGCTTGGCACTTACTCCACACAAAAGAAAGCAAATGTGTGACAAAATTCGCACTAATTTCTGCATTTCCATCAAACCGTGCACCCACACCTGACACGTGTCACCTCACCTTGGACTGGACTTCTATCTCCAGGAGTTCATTCTTCACTTTCCTTCCATCAGATATCTGGAGTAGGACAGAGTCATACAGAGCCTCTCCTCCATCATGTCTGTACATTATATCCCCAGACCTCAGAGAGGACACAGTGAAGGTACTGGCTGGCCCATACATCTGACTCACCATACTGCCGTGTCTTGGCTCTGCAGAGGAAAAGACAACAGACATCTACCATCTGATAATCTACAGATTTGGTAACCGTTACATTTGGGTTTAACATCTATATCATAACCAATTGCTTGGTACTTAATATTTAACACTATTTCACACATTTATCATAATAGAAAAAAGGGTTAAGTATGCACAATACAAAATGTCATTGTTTTACAATTCTACATTATCAACATTATTCATTGTACCAAACAACTTTGAAAAAGCACTAATTACATTTGTCATATAATTTGTGATCAATAAAGATATAAAATCTTAATTTTTGGTTAAGTGAATCACTGCAGCTTACCTTCAATCACCCTGACAGAAGTATCAGATGGCCAGTCTTGGGACAGCCTGTTGACAAACCCAGCAGGAAGAACGGTAACAGTTCCCTTGGTGGTCAAGAGTTTCTCTGCAATACAAAGCCACTGCTGATTACATCTGTGTATGGTGCAATCCAAACCACATGATGGTAACAAGAATGTGTGATGTTAAATCGACCATTACAAACCTAACATGGTGTAACCATTTTTTATAACACACACACACACACACACACACACACACACACACACACACACACACACACACACACTATCATCCTCATCATCATCATCATTATCATCATCATCATTATCATCATCTAATTCTGCCTCACTCTCATAGAAAAAACCCTCAGAGAGTTAATGCCTCTTCCATAATGTTCAATAGTCTGATTTTCACCTGGCTTGCCACACAACTCAGTTGTGAATATGTACTAACTGCAACAAGATAAAAATACCTGCACCCATCATCTACTTAGTGATATCAAATAACAGTATTTTCTTTAATATGCCCTCATACTTCACGCTAGACTTGACAAGCCGAACAAACTTAATCCCCAGACTTATAAAAGAACACACATAAAAATGATGTTTAAAACTTGCACCAAAATGATACGTGATCAGAAAACGAAAGGAGAGTCACAAAAGCTCAGTGACCATTATAAAGGAAAAAAATATAAGAATGGTGTCCAACATGTCATGGTTCAGTAAATTTTAATGGGAAAATTCTTTTGAAAAGATAAAATTTCATGGAAAGGAAAGCACTTCCATTGGTATAGAAATACTTCTGGTAAACAAGCAGAAAATTGAATTATCATATTTCAAACCAGCATGAGAAGAAACCTTGAACAGCAGCACAACAATTACTTACAAGCAGAAAACATGACAGAAACATGCATTTTGAAGTAAAAGATACACAAATAAAGAACTTCAATAGTATTTGGCATCTTTTTCTCATTTCATGATGCAGTTATCCAAGACAGAATTTTATATACACATCCATATATTTAGCCTTAATGAAGGTTAGGTCTATGGAGATCTTTCTTTTTATACAAAAACATCAAATGGCACTTATGAAACCTCATGTAGCATTCCTCCATGTTACCAGTACTCACCTTGTACACACTGGTGACCACTATCACAGCAGTACTTGGTATAACACAATGGTGAATCCTGGACACAAACACATAACCTGCATGTTACCAGTACTCACCTTGTACAAACTGGTGACCACTATCACAGCAGTACTTGGTATAACACACTGGTGAACCCTGGACACAAACACATAACCTGCATGTTACCAGTACTCACCTTGTACAAACTGGTGACCACTATCACAGCAGTACTTGGTATAACACACTGGTGAACCCTGGACACAAACACATAACCTGCATGTTACCAGTACTCACCTTGTACAAACTGGTGACCACTATCACAGCAGTACTTGGTATAACACACTGGTGAACCCTGGACACAAACACATAACCTGCATG